TATCTCTATGTTTATATGGAACTTTAGTTTGTATTATCTATGTGTTCCAAGTCTTTAGTTATTTGTTCTCCTCTCAATAGCAACCTCCCTAATCAATATTATTGGCATGACAGATGAAGGACAGCGAGTTAGATGCAGAGTGTTTGCTTCAGAACCTAACGATCTCAAAGACGAGAGAAGAAGAGGAGTCGTTCTATGGGTACCTCAAAGCCTTGATGAGCTCATTAACACAGCAAAGGAGCAATTAAGAGTTTCATCAGCAAATTGTGTAGTGTCAGAAGATGGAGCCAAAATCCTGGACACAAACATGATCTCTGATTGCCAAAAGCTGTTTTTAGAAAGCGAATGTACATGAAGTTTTTTTAAAAACAGCACTATTCAACACATTGTAATTTCCAGGCGAGCTCTTTAGAGGAAGGAAACAAACTAATATAGTTGTAATATGTAACAGCTGAATAATTTATACAGTATAAAAACCTAATGTTGGAGCTTTCTGGCTACACCAAGACTATGAACTCTTATCACTGTGATTAAAATCAGCATGAAAAGCGGTTGGTGTTGAGGAGAGCACATGGTTATCATCTCATGTATATATTTGTTGATGAATTGTAGTTAAGCTTGAACTTAGGATCTCTATAATGTTATATTTGATTGTGTGATCACCTCAACTAATAATTTTAACACTTATATTCTATAAAATTAGTTTAAGTCCGTAACATATACTAGGTTCACAAAGAAAAGGTAGAAATAGAACCACCTGGCCCTTTTTGTCTAATCTTTGAAAAATAGCATTGTCACGAAGTTTTAACTATGAAATTAGAAGCTTCGTAATAATGACTATAAAAAGCGGCTATTTATGAATTTTACCGAAAAAGTGGCATCTCGGGTCAAACTTGGACAATCCAGGCCCAGTAAAAATCAAACCATTTTCTTTGGGCCTTTGCTGCTCGAGTTAAAACGAAAATAGAACATAGCCATCAATATGAAGAAAAAAGACTCCCTTATCCAATAGTAGCTAGAACATTAGAAAGGATGATGAGCCTCTCCATTGCCACTCCTTCAAGTGTTAACTTTGCTTCCAAGTTAAACCTCTCTAAATCCTCCTTCTATGGCGTTCGGATTGCTCAAGTCTGTCCGGTTCATGCTCGAACCGCGCATTCCATAACGACAACTCGCTCTTCTTCATCAATGGTGGTGAAAATGGCGAAGAGAGATGAGGAATTGAAGGAAATTCGAACCAAAACTACTGAGGAGCTTCAAGAAGAGATTGTTGACCTTAAAGGAGAGCTCTTCATGCTTCGTCTTCAAAGATCAGCTCGTAATGAGTTTAAGTCAAGCGAGTTTCTTCGGATGCGTAAAATGGTACTGTTTACTCTCCCTCTTTTCTGGTTTTACCGTTTGTTTTACTTGTTAGCTCCAGCTACAAAATGATTGGGTGAATTTCTCTGTGATTTTGGTTTTTATTCATTTCGTACAAAATTGGTGTGGTTTTGAGTTGGCAAATGTCACTGTTAAATGATCCTAGTTGTGGAATCTGTAGTCTGTCATCTCCTTAGGCATTTTGATGTTACATTATTAGCACTAGTTAGTGTTTATCTTCATGTTTAAGTGAAAGTCGGAGCAAATTTTGGACAATGGCATAAAACAGTGCCAAAATTATGGGATCACTTTGCACTGAAGAGAGAATCCTTATATGTCTGGAGGAGTTGCATCTACCTGGTAGATTCATGCTTTACTATTTTTAAGTATATGGCATTGTAGTTTTACATTACTAATTTTAAAAAAAAAGTATATGGCATTGTAGTTCCAGAGAGAACACAGTTAATAGCTTGTCCCTTGCAGCGATTATTGAGGCTGTTGAGGGAATTTGCGCACCTATGACGAGGATGAAGAATTTGCAGAAATTTTTCTCCTACGTTTTGCACTAATTTGAGAAACATTGTTGGTCCTTCTTATGATATTTCAATAGCATTTGATTTGTTATGTGGATATCCAAGGTGTGAACATGGTGGTGTATGTTGTCCCAATCATTCCTTAGTCCCAAACTCGACTAGGGACTAAGGAGAACAAGGTTTTGAGTTGCTGATTCCTAGTTTTTTTCCTTCTGCGAGTGTAATAAGTAATACTAGTGCTTCTGCTCATTGCAGAAATGAGCATGTGCGAAGTTTCCTATTCTAAACTATAATGAAGGTGAGCTTCAGTCAATGAACTGAAAGAATGAACTCAATTTCTATGTGAGAGGTCATCAGAATCTTTGAATGTAGTAGATTCAACCAAATTTCAGTATCAACAAGTTGTAGCAGCTTAATAGGTCTGTTTGAAAATGTTTTTCTGATCTTCATGTTAATTGTCTTGTATTTTTTTTCCTAATTTGAAGTTTATTGTGTGACAACTATCCAATCCTTGTGTTTGCAAGGCTATTGTTCTCAGCATAACACTCCTGAGGTCCTAAGATGAATAGCAGTCAGTTCTTGTCATGATGAATAGAGGGATATCATCTCCTTGGTCACAAAAGATTAGCATCAGTACTGATTGAGAATAACTGTTTGTTTTTGTTACTTGTAAAGGGGGCATGTTTTTTGGGTTGAACTCTAGCAGTTATGGTTGGTCTTTCCATCATTTTTCCTTGATTTCATTTAATGTTTTTCTGGTGTGCCTACATTCTTTCCAGTCTCCAATTTTGTCTCTTTTTTTTTTTTTGGGGTGGGGG